TACCATACGTTTTTCCACAGTAAGGCCATATGGACTATTATTTAAGTATTCTAATTGGAAGAAATCTTTTAATGTCTGAAATCTAGGGAAAAATATATTCAACAGCCATGAAACAAATTAGAACAGAATATGAATGCTGTGTGTCCCCATGCATTAGAAAGGACACTTTATGAGATTTAGGAGACATGAGTGAGGGTACTTGATTTTTTTAGGATCTTAATTTTATCATTCGTAACTTGGGGGAATTAGATTAGATCAAAAACCTTAATAGATACCATACGTTTTTCCACGGTAAGGCCATATGGACTATTATTTAAGTATTCTAATTGGAAGAAATCTTTTAATGTCTGAAATCTAGGGAAAAATAACACTGAATGAGATTCATGGTGGTGGAAAGGTTGGTACTCATTAGGCTAGATGATTTCTAGGTTTCTTTTAGTGTAAATATTCTGTTATATATTCATTCACTGAATTATTCATCGTACAGACATTTTCTGAGCCCTTGCCAGTTTTACACTCCTATGATTCCAATATTTTTACAACCCATTTTTTTTCCTGACTGTATCATTAGATGGCGTATCAAGAGCTGGAGCTGCCTTTTTTAACGAAGTTCGAAATGCAGTATTTGGCAAGGTAGCCCAAAATTCAATCCGAAGAATAGCCAAAAATGTCTTTCTCCATCTTCACACCCTGGATCTGGGTTTCCACCTGAGCAGACAGACAGGAGCTTTATCTAAAGCTATTGACAGAGGAACAAGGGGTATCAGTTTTGTCCTGAGTGCTTTGGTATTTAATCTTCTTCCCATCATGTTTGAGGTGATGCTTGTCAGCGGTGTTTTGGTAAGTAAAACATTTTTCATAATAAGCTTTTATCTTACATTCTCATTAGTAGCACTGAGTATTTGAAGCTATTGTACTGTTGCATGCCCATGGGTTTGAAAGCAAAATTTCATGATGTCAGGAAGATTATGCAGTTTGTTTAATTATTTTGCCACAAGCTTCAAGGGACTGTCCAAATTATTTATCATGTTATTATAAAGAACTGTTCAGTTCTACACATAGATCATCATTAACTAGTACTTGCAAGGTTTTTTTTAGCAGAGATTTCTGTGTGTGACATTTGACTGATATGCTCAGAATATCT